CGGACCCAAAATTTCGTTCAAGTGGGTTCAAGTTACAAATAATCATAGTGGTGGTCCATAATAATGATTAGCATTTTTTTCATTATATCCTTAATAAGTTATTTTATGGTGATATTCCTAACAAAAAAAATATACTCTATTAATTTTTATCTACTTACAAGAAAATTTCCCACATATTTTCAATTTGACAAGCTACTTGTTACTCTTCTAACAGTTCTAAAAATCATAAAAAGATAAAAATGCACTAACCTAAATTTCGTGTATACCGAGTTAAAAGGAAAATAAATACATGGTTTTGCATATTACAAAAAATCAAACTAAGTATTACTCCCTCGTTTCATAAAAGTTGAACATCTTACCAAAATTAGTTGTCTGTCTTACTAAATCAAGAAAGCATCAATCAAAATTTTCATATATATTACACTTGTAATTAAATTTTTTTAAAGTATTCGCATTTATTAATAAACTTCGCAAAAAGTTTTCACGAGATGGATTGGTAAAATTATTTTCTTATTTTATGAATTTTTTAATGTGTGTGTTAAAAGTAATATAATAAAATAAGATGGATCGGAGAGATTATATAAAAACTATAAACATATTGTTTAAATTATTACAATTTTAAATAATTCTCAAATACAAACATGAAAAGAAAACTTAAATAATAAATTTAGAATATTACTATTGTTATTTAACTGAACTAGGGGTGGCAGGGGGACCGGGATGTCCCGCCCCGGCCCGCGTCCCGACCCGCCCCGTTTCGAACCCGTCCCGTCCCCTAGGGTTTAGGGGGTTTAAGGGGTGGGGGATGAGGGGACCGGTCAGGGGATGGTTCACCCCTGCGTCCCGATTGACCCGGCCCAGTTGAATCGGCCGGTTCGCGGGATCCCCTTTGTTTTATTTTAATTTTAAATTTTTTTACCATTTACATCCGTTGGGGAAACGGCTAGTGAGCCCCCCCTCCCCCCAACGGATTTTTTCCCCTTTTTGTGTTCCCAAACACCCCCTACCACTCCCCTACTTTTAATATTTTATTTTAAACCCTCAAGTTATAATAATTACACTTTAACCCATTTTTAATATTATAAATACACCTATCCCCTACTTTTTCTTACAAAATCATCTATTCTCATTTCTCTCATCTATTTTTTATATCCTCTCAACTCCCAACTCTCAAGTGTCAATCTTAATTTCTATTCTATTTTAATTCTCATATTATTAGAATCCATATATTTCAATTTTCAATTCGAAAATTTCATATTATATCAATAAATATAATTATATTATCTCAGATTTGTTATCAAGTATTGATTGGAGTTTCAAAGTACAAATTACAACAAACCACAAGCTTCAACAATCGGTTTAACGTCTGCTATTAACGCAGATGTTTGGTACATTCGTTTCATAATATTTATATTTTATTTTTCGTCTTTTTAATTTTGTGTTATTATTATTTTTATATTACACTTTTGTATATAATTAAGTATGAGTTCTAGCAAAAAAAATAGCGCTAAAGAAAAAGAGAAAGCACAAGATAATGAAGAAAGTAGACTTTTTAAATTATTTAATATGGATAAAAAAAATTAGTAAAGAAAAAAAGAGTAGTAAAAGTGGTGGTTCTTCATCTAAATCAACGAGTAGAGTTATATTTAACATAAATGATTCTACTTATGTTGATGATTCTCCTTATGATATTGATTCAAATGTTCAACTCGATCACGAAAGTTTAGAACGACGTTATGGTAATAGTAATCCTAATGTTGATGAAAATTCAGGTGAAGAAGTAGAAGCTGATTTGGGAGAAGAGGAGTTAGAAGAAAGACCTAATAGTCCATTGATAGAAGTTCCAAATGAGACGATCAATTTACCGGAGCAAAATTTTGGACATCCACCCCTTATACCTCCCACAAGGGAGAAGGTAAAGTATCAACGACCTAAAACTTCTATTGTGTGGCAATATATGACTTTCGATAAAGAAAATAGTGTTGCTATTTGTAATAAGTGTAAGCAACTTTTTAAATATAAACAAGTTGGGGGTCAAGGTGGAACCGGGGGATTAAATAGACATTTGTTATCTTGTGTGCCGATTCAATATAAAGAAGCTAAAGCATTAGCCAATAGAAAAAAGGGAATTTCAATTAATGAATTAGATATTACCGATAATGCGTGGATAGGGGCTTCTAACATGGTTCAAGGAACACTAGATCCTTTTAACCCCGCTGGTCCAATAACACAAAGTAAATATAATAAGGAATTAGATCGGGAAAATTTATCTAAAATGGTTTCTGTTTGTGGTTTGCCTTATAGTTTTCCTTCAAATCCCGGTTTTATTGAATATATTCAACAAACTTATAATCCGGATTATAGAGGCTTTTCAAGAAATAATGTTAAATCTGATGTTTTTGAATTTCAAGGTAAACATTGTCAATTTCTTCGTTGTATATTTAGCATATTAGATAGTAGAGTATCTATAACTTCGGACATGGGTCGTAGTGTTAATGAAAATGATTATTTAACTATTACTGCACATTGGATTGATCATAATTGGAATTCGCAAAAAAGAATTATAAGTTATAAACTATGTATAGAGAAAAAACTGGTACATATTTAGCTTCAAATATTTTAAGTGTTTTAGATTATTACATGATTATAGATAAAATAATGTCTGTCGCATTAGATAATGCATCTAATAATACAAACGCTGCTAAAATGTTAAAAGTTAGATTATGTCCAATTAACAATAATGTTTTTCATGTTAGATGAACAACACATATATTAAATTTAGTTGTACAAGATGGTATTTCATTATTTGATTGTGGTAGCGTATAAGTTGAAGATGTTGTTACCGGATTTTTCATACAAACAATGCTTCTAGAATTAGGGAATTTAATTAGAGTTGTTTACTATGTGAATTGTCACCTAGAAAAATTCCAAAACATATTAAAACAGGGTGGAATTCTCTTTACGAAATGCTTTCGGTTGCTTACAAATACAGAAGACCCATACAAATGGTTTTTAATGCTCATAATGCTGACCCATTAGATAGAATCTGTGATGAAGATTGGGAAGAAACTAAAGAAATATTACAATTTTTAAGACTTTTTTATGATGCTACTACCATATTTTCGGGAATTTATTATGCTACTATTTTATCCGTTTTAATAAATATTTGTGCTCTTTCAATTAAATTTTGTAAATCTAAAAAAATAGATAAATTTAGAGTTGCAATTGAAGGTATGATTGAAAATTTAAAAAATATTTTTTTTCTATTCCTCAAGGTTTTTTAACGGCTACTTTACTTCATCCTGCTTATAAATTACAAGGTGTGCAAGGCCTTGTTCACACTTTTTATGAATCTTAAGAAATTTTACTGGAAGAAATTCCAAATTGTCAAACGTGTAAGTCTAGCATAAAATTAGAAGCAAAATTATTGTATGAAAAATATAGAAATACGGAAAATTTTCAAGGAGAAGTTGGTCAAACTTCTAATGTTGAGATTGATTTGTCACTTCCAATTTCAACTTATATGTGAGGTTTTCTTGGTCTTAATTCTACTAACCATGATGATTTTGAAGAATATCTTAATCAATCTTTAGAAGTATTGGAAATAAAAGATGGCAATGAAGATTTATTAGGATGGTGATGAGGCGAAGTGATGCATTTTCAACTTTGAGCAAAATGGTTTGTGATGTTCTAGCTATTCAAGCTTCATCAATTGTATCGGAGGCTGCTTTCAGTGCGGCAAGGTTTCAAATAGGTGATTATAGACATTCATTAGCGGTAGACAGTTTGGAAACAACAGTTCTATTTAGAGACTGGTGCAATGCTGAAAGGAGGAATAACAATTTCCCAAAGTTAAGTAAAAAACAAGCAAGTTGGATCAAAACACAAATTGAATGCAGTGATGATGAATTAGAGGCACAAGAATTTCTAGCTAGTTTGCCAACACCGGAGGATATCACCATCGATATGATGCGACAATTAGAATTAAGTTTTAAAGGAGAAAACAGATATTTTTAGATTACATTCGAGAACTAATTGACACAGAACCCTTCCTAGAAGGTGGCTGCGTAAAATAAGTTACTCATCTAATATATGTAACAAATATTAGTTTTACGTATGAGAACTTATTGAAACGGAACCCTTCCTAGAGGCTGGCTGCGTAGATTAGTTATTCCACTAATATTTGTTAATTGTAACTTCTAAGTTCTATTGAATAAATTTGAAGGTTTTAACTTTTGTTCAAGTTTTTTTTATACAATTATTGTTTTGCATTTTAATTTTAATATATACAATTAAATATATACTAAAGTACTAAACTAATTTTAAAATGCTTAATTTAAAGTTTACAATTTACATTACTTTAAAATGTTTAAATTACAAATTTAAACTTCTAAAATTGAAATTTAAAACTTTAAAGTTGAAACTTCAAATTTGAAACATGAATCTTGAAATTTTAAAATTGAAACTTTAAATTTGAAAATTTATTTTGATATTTGAAAATCAAAAATTAAATTTAAAATTATTAGCTAAAGACATGTAATTTCAATACAAATATATAAGTATTTAAAAAAAATCCCCCGTCCCATCCCGTCCCGTCCCCCCAAATCCCATCCCATCCCGTATATATAGTGGGACTGATGGGACCTATTTTTGTCCCCCCAATCCCGGTCCCGTATCAAATCCCCTCTCCCCGTCCCCCAGTCCCCTTCCCCGTCCCCTTGCCAGCCCTACACTAAACTAAAAGTCTACAACTATAATAGTCTACATTTATTTGTTATTTTAAAAAGAAAAAGTTCTTGGAAAATACAAAATTAAAAAAAATGTTTTGCCTTGGTTGGGGGCTCGCACCTGGATTCACTGGGTGAAATTGAACCCATTCACCACTGATCCGCGCTAGCCATCATGTCAAATGTGGGTTCATTTTATTTATATACATTTACAAATAATTTATATATGTATAATACAAAAAATTTCGATGAAGTGGGTCCAATTGAACCCACATGCACCTCTGTGGGTCCGCCCCTGCGTGGAAGAGAGGCATAACTCTTTGTGAAGGTGGATTTGGAGTCGTCTCGTTAGCTTCTACCTCAAATGCACTATTTTGTGGTGTTACTCTCCCATCTCTCATTGCTCTCAAATCATGCGACTTCAATGCTTCTCATTCCTTGAAAGAAGAAGTCGAAATCCTCATAATGTTCAAACATTCTCCTTACATTGTTCACTGTTGCGGAGCTAATATCTCTTTTGATGATAACGTCAATCTTTACAACTTATCGCTGGAGTATGCTTTCGAAGGAAGCCTTGTTGATCGTCTTCAAAACTGCAATTCACTGTTGGAGTTTGAAGTTAAGAAACACAGGAAGAATGTTCTCTTAGGGCTTAGTTGCATTCACAACAATGGAATTATTTACTGTGACATCAAGCCTGGCAATATTCTCCTTGTGGGAATGGACAAACTGCCAAGATTGCTGATTTCGGGTTCTCTGTGACCTTGGAACAGGGCATGAACCCAAAATAGGAAGTTAACAGGGAACAAAAGGGTATATCGCACCGAAATGTGTGATTAACATCGAGTATAGCCCACAGGTTGATATTTGGGCTCTTGGATGTACTGTCTATGAGCTGATTACGGGACACTGATGTGTGAAGATGTAGATGGTGATTATGTGTTAGACAAAATTGAGTTTGAGGAGCCAAAGTTTCAGAATTCAAATTTTTCAAATGAGGCTCAAGATTTTCTTGGAAAATGTCTTGTGAAGAATTCGAGCACGCGTTGGACTGCGGACAAACTCTTGAACCATACTTTTCTGCAAAATTCATCCAAAGTAGCCAACACATCAATAACAAGGAATAAGAAAATTGATTCAATGTCTCTTATGCCCAAACCAATCCAGAAGATAACACTCAAGATCGGCCGTCATAAATTCTCAAGGCAATTGCTAGATTCGAAGCCCTTTCTAGACAAACCAATCAAGACGATAACATTCAAAATCAGCAATCATAAATTCGTGAGGCAATTTCCAGACCTTAAGGAAGTAGAGAATGAAACTTGTGGAAGGGTACTAAGTACGGACAATAGATAGATAGATGCATATAAAATTATTAATTAATTTGTGTGTATATTTATATACTAGTTCTTTACACGTGCTTTGCACGTTAGTCTCACGAATATATATATATATATATATATATATATATATATATATATATTACTATTTCCCCTAACATTATTATGTATGTATGTATTTAAATTACTTCTATTTAAGCAAAAGCATATTTTGCATAAACTATTCAAGTATTATCAAACTCATCATGTATTAATAGAAGTTTTGTCAATTAAATAGCACATAAAAGCATAATAACACAAAACAAAGAAAAAAAATTCATAACAATCCAAAATAATACATAATTACATAAAAATATGGGTTGCATACCAAATCCATTTTGGACAACCATACCTTAACTCCAAAATGAAAAAGAAAAACTTAAAATCATAATCTAATATAAAAAGATCTAAAGAAATATATAAGTCATATCGTATACAGTTAAGTTTAACAGTTGAAATATATTGTAAGAAAATTTCTCTTTTAATTTCATAATGAAGCTATTTGTTCTTCTCCACAGTTAGTTTCTTGACGACATCTATTCATATAATAATCTAGGAAGAAGAAAAGAGAATAGTAGATGATAGAAAAGAAAAGAATGTGATGACCTAGTAAGCAATTAACTTGTATTTATAGCGATATTTGATTGTTTTTTCACCTACCAAAATTTTTTAATGGGACACATTGAATCATGATACATAAATTTATTTAGTTTCAAAATTCCAAGAATCACAATATTTGAAGAGTTTCATACAATATTGTTTCATGATAGATAAATTTATGTTAATTATAAAATTCAAAGAATCACAAAATTTGAAGAGTTTCGTACATTATTTTTTCTACTCTAATTTAATTTAATATAATTAATTATAATTATAATATCATAAATAAAAAATTTAAGTATGGTTATTGGATTTCATATTCTACTATTATGCAATTAAATATTAGTATTTAAAAAATAAATTAATTTATTTTAATTTAGTAGAGGGACAAAATGGTAATCCATCTTTGTAGATTAGAACTTCCCACTTATATATATATATATATATATATATATATATATATATATATATATATATATATATATATATATATATATAT